TATTGAAATAAATAATAAATTTAGATATATGTGAATACACAAAAACTAAAATACACACGATGATCTCACTTCGTGAATAAAAACTGAACATATATATTTATATATATAGTAATAGGGTTGGAGACGACCCGATAATGGTTTGTTGTGACTGAGTGATGATGATGGTGTTGTCCCAAATATGTTATCTTCCAAATATTTAAAATAAATTAGAGAAAGTGGGGTGGGTATGATTTTTTGGTATTTTTATTTGAAACAATAAAGAATTAATGCAATAAAGAAGAAATTAAAAAAAAATCAATTAAAAAAATTAATAATAAAAATGTAATATATATTAATATATAAATATAATATATTAAAAATAATATTTATTAATATATAATAATCCAATCAAAACAATTAACAAAATAAAAAAATTAAAAAATTTAATTAAATGAATTTAATAATCCAATAAAGTAATACTTACTAATAGATAAATATAATTTCTATGTTAAAAATAATATTTATTAATATATAATAATCCAACAAAAAAAATTAATGCAATAAAGAAGAAATTCAAAAAAAATTAATTAAAAAAAATTAATAATAAAAAAGTAATATTTATTAATATATAAATACAATATATTAAAAATAATATTTATTAGTATATAATAATCCAATAAAAAAATAATACAATAAGAAAAAAGTTAAAAAGGAAAAAGTAATTGAATTATTTAATAATTCAATAAAATGAAAAAAAAAATTGCATAATTGGTCCTTGTAGTTTGGTAAGAAGATAAAACTGCAGAAATAGTCCCAGGGATAAATCCGTCATGTGCCAAAAGTTAACAGTCATGCTGTTAAACATAACGAAGTAGGGAACAAAACCACAACAAAACCATCAATTAGTGACATTTTTTGCTAATAAACTTTTTTTGGACCTTACCCACAAAAATTGACAAACCACAGTGACCATTTTTGCAATTAGAAATATGAAAAAGTAATGTCTAGCTATATATATTAATGTGTGCGTCAAATTATAAAATATTTAAATGAAATCATACAGAATATAATTAGGCAGCATTAAAAAGAAAAAGATTATATATTTCATTTCAATTCACAGCAACTTGGCGGAGTGCACCTTTCGGCCAATGCGATGAGAGGGCGGTCTATAGCTAACCAGAAATTAAATATCCTCCTTCTTTTTGTTCCTATAAATCCTCCTACCCAATTACATAGTGACATGTGTAATATTTAATGATCATTTAATGAAATTTTATGATATTTTAGTAAACTAATATGACATATATCATTATTTAATTGGGTAGGAGGATTTGTAGAAATTAAGGTAGAAGAATATTTAATTTCTCATAACTAAAACGTGGGCAAACATAAAAAAACGGCGCTTTAATGGCCCAGACTATTTGACGCAACAAATGCACGTTAGTCGGGCCCAGCTCGCATTATTTAATTTTACGAGTTTGTCGTTATTTAATTCTCCTTATCAAAATTCAAGACTTCATTGGATTCGAATGAACCGATTGGATTGATATTGAATAAAGTTGTACGCCACGAAAATGAACCGATTGAATTGATGTATTTGATCGTTTACTGTAATCTCTTAATCATTTTCTTTTTTCCTGAAATTTTACTTTTTTTATTATTTAAATGAAGGTGGAGTGACAACCTTTTACTCTAACATATCACATTTCGATTTATATCCCTTTAAATATGCACGTAACATAAGTTATACATCATTTATTTTGATTTTTCTAATTTATTTTTCCTTATTAATGTTTTGTCTCTTTTTTGTTTTTTTTTTCTTTTCTTTAATCTTAATAAATTTTAAGGGAAATTTACAGAAAAGCCCAAACTTTTGGGAAAATTTTCAAAAAAGTAATATAGTTTTTTAACACAAAAAGTCTCATTATATTGAGAAAATCATATAATCTGACATTTGTTGTTCAAATATAAAAAGCGATAATGCTATAAAAAGCCTTAAGTTTGGCATAAAATGTCGGTTTTACCCTTCGACAGATTTTTGGTCCGTTTATGCTGCGAATTTGTCATTTTTTTTTGTCTGTTTTGCCCTTTTTAAATGTAATAGCAGGTTTCCAGGTTATCGTGAATTATTTTTTGCGAAAAAACCCTTAAGTTTCCAAATATTTTACAAAAAAACCCTTAAGATCATAAACATATAAAATATAAATATATATTCAAAATTTGATAAAACTAAATAGTTTTTAAAATTTTAAATGTCAAAAGTTTATATCAAACTAATATAACTTTTACTGGATTTTTATTATGAAACCAAAACGGAAACATATTTTTAGCTTTACCTACAATAAATTTTATATTAGTTTGATATAAACTTTTTATTTTTAAATTTTAAAAAAGTTACATAGTTTTATCAAAATTTGAATATAATCCTTAATTAATAGTTAATCTTTTCAAAAATTAAAAAATGACTGTTAGTTAATAAATAACTACGCTAAAATAGTTAAACATATGAATAATATGATAATTAATTTTTTTAAAGGAAAATAAAAATATTTATATGTTTAAAAGGTTTGTATTGCAGAAATAATAATGTACCATATTTTTTGGATTCGTTGTATATACCCATGGCTCGTAAAGCAATTTTGGAGGTGATCATATATAGTCACCATATAGTGACATTATTTCCATGCAATTATTTTTTTAAAGGAGAATGTAAATATTTTATATGTTTAAAAGTTTTGTATTTTAGCAATAATAATATTATCATATTTTTTTATAAAAATAAATATAGTTGTATAAGTTATTATTTCTAAAACACACACATAAACATTTTAAACATATAAAATATAAATATAACTGTCTAATTTATTATATAAATATATTTATTTTTATGAAAAATATGATACATTATTATTTCTTAAATACAAACATTTTAAACATATAAAATATTTTTATTTTCCTTTTAAAAAATTAATTGAATTTAATTACTAGCATATTTAACTATTTTTAGCATAATTAATTATTAGCTAACAGACGTTTTTTTAATTTTGCTTTGAAAAGTTTAAGTATTAATTAATGAATATATTCAAATTTTGATAAACCTATGTAACTTTTTTAAAATTTAAATATAAAAAGTTTATATCGAACCAATATAAAATTTACCATACGTAAAGATAAAATTATGTTTCAGTTTTGGTTTCATAATATAAGTACAGTAAAACTTATATTAGTTTCATATAAACTTTTAACAATTAAATTTTTGAAAACCATTTAGTTTTATCAAATTTTGAATATATATTTATATTTTATATTTTTATAATCTTAAGGGTTTTTTTTTGCAAAATATTTGTAAACTTAAGGGTTTTTTCGTAAAAAATAATTTATGGTAACCTGGAAATCTGTTATTACAGGTAAAAATGACAAAACCGACAAAAAAATGACAAGTTTGCGACATAAACGAACCAAAAATCTATCGAATGATAAAACCGATATTTTCAGCCAAACTTAAGGTTTTTTATGACAATATCCCATATAAAAATGATTTTTTCGTTAATTTGGGCAAAATGTTAAATAATCGGAACTTTTCTGTTCAAAAAAAGTTTTAGGACTTCATTGAAACTTTTCTCAAAAGTTTGAGACTTTTTTGTAGATTTTTCCTAATTTTAATAAATAAATATTATTATTATTAACATTAAAAGAAATATTTTTTGTTCATTCGAACTATATTTTTGTTATTTTTTTCATCGAAACTATCACTATGTTATTTTTCTGTTCGGATTATTGTATATGAGAAATTAAATATCCTCCTATTTTTTCTTCATATTCATCCTTCTACCAACTTTAAATGACGACAAGTGTAATGCAATTTTATTTAAATAGAACAAATGTCACAATCTTAAGTGTATAAGAAAATGACTGAAAAAATAAGATGATATTTTATTTCTCATTGTATATATTATTCTTTCATTCAGACTATTCATTTATTATTCTTTCGTTCGAGTTGTCTTAATGTTATTTTTTTCGTGACGATTATCTTTGTGTTGTTTTTTGGTCGGATTATCTCATGTTAGTTTTTTCGTTCAAACTATCCATGTGTTATTTTTTTCGTATAAACTATTTTTGTGTTTTTTTCGATCCGACCATCCTTGTTGTTACTTTTCCGTTCGAACTGTTCATATGTTTTTTTATCATTCAAATTACCTGTGTTATTTTTTCGTTATGACGATCATTGTGTTTTTTTTGTTCTGACTATTCTTGCGTTGTTTTTTTTCGATCGGATTATCTTCATGTTATTTTTTCCGTTTAGACTACCTCTGTGTTATTTTTTTTCATTCCGACTATCTTTATGTTTTTTTTTGTTTCGACTATCTATGTGTTATTTTTTTGTTTGAACTTTCAATGTTTTATTTTTTTATTCAGACTATCTATGTGTTAGTTTTTTCGTTCGAACTATCATTGTGTTAATTTTTAGTTCGAACTATGTGACTTTATTATTTTTTTAGTCAGACTATCCATGTGATAACTTTTAGTTCGAACTGTCCTTATGTTAATTTTTAGTTCGAAATAACACATGTATAGTCTAGACGGGTTGGAAAAATTATAAATTGGTTGGTCATTAAAAATGTAAATTAAAATAATAAAATATATCATTAGCGTTTAGTGAAGGATAAACTTTGTTGAAAATGAATTTGTATTTACAGTGATAACAAAAATAAGAATTTATTAACATTTATTTTTTAAGATTGTTAGCATTTATTTTTATATGTGTATTTCAAATAAAGTTGAAGAAATTTTAAAGAATAAAAAGTATAAGGGTTTGTTTTGTAACTTACATCTAATCTTAAGGGGATAAAATGAAAAAATATAAAAACAATTGAAATTAAGGAATCGACAAATATATATATATATATATATATATATATATATATATATATATATATATATATATATATATATAT